TATCTATCTATCTATCTATCTATCTATCTATCTATCTATCTATCTATCTATATATATATATATATATATATATATATATATATATTATAAATCATTGATTTAAAATATGTTTTTTTCGCTACACAGTTCTAACCATGTTTCAAAAATGGAAGCTAAAAGCCACGAATTTAATTTTGCAATTAATATATATATATATATATATATATATATATATATATATATATATATATATATATACAGGGTGTCCATAAAGTTTGTGTGCACTTTAAAAAATTATAACTTTATTTGTATTTGCGATAGAAATAATCTGTAAAAATGTTATAAAGTTTAATGTACCTAGTTTTAAGTATAGCTAAAATAACTAATGTGATTTCAGGCATTGCTGTAAATCAGTTGGCAAATTTTTTTCCGTGAACTGCAAAACCGTATTACCCTTTGTATTGTTAATGATGGAGGACATGAGGAAACTTAAATGAAATTTACTTCTTTCTAATCCTGTTTACAAATTATTTCTATCGCAAATACAAATAAAATTATACATTTTTTAAAGTGCACACGAACTTTATGGACATCCTGTATATATATATGTGTGTGTGTGCATTTATTTTAGTGCAAAAATATTGATAATCATTCATTGATTTTACCAAGCTCAATATTTAGAAAAGGAATTTTATCTCATAAACTAGAAATGTATTTATTTACTGTCGTGACAGTGGTAGGAGGTTGGCTGGGGGTGTACACTTGGGCAACGAAAGGTTGAATAATCCCATTTGTAGAAGTCGTTGCAGGAGAATGCTTTGGAAATGATTAATGGTTTTCATTTCATTGGGCTTTATCAATGCGCTGTCAATTTACACGGTGTGTGAGTAATGAATATTTTACACATGGACACATATATTTGTGCGGAGGGTACAATGTTCATGAGGTCCAAGAATATTACTTACACACTTGAATGCAAGAGAAATATATCCAAATATATGTATGCATAGATAAACTTTCAAATATAGGTATTCTAGCGACCTATTTATTTATCAATATCGATATAGGTAGAGTGAATTTTTGGCGTACAAATAAAGGACATTTTATGGTGAATTACTGCTAATGCTGGGTTTGAATTGCCTAAACTTTTCTTTAAAAACTGTTTTTTTTTATTAGGAATATCGTTATTTCAATACATTTCCTTAAAGTCAAAATAATTAAAAATACTTTAAAAAATTAAATATTCTACGACATCAATCAGGTAAGCAGATAATTAAATATATAAAAGCAATTAAATAAACTCAAAAGTATCAAAACTATTTACATTGTTCCGATTCCGACTGTTGTTATCATTTTCATTGCCATATTGACAGCGTTACGGCCGCTGTACTCTCCGGTCTTCTTCAGGTGATTCAAATTTCGAACCGAGACTTTTATTCCGTCAACCGGGTAAGATTTCTCTAGTTCCACTAGTTGCTTATCGTTGATGTGAAAATAACTCTGCTACTATAAGGGATTCTAATACATTTACTTGTTCTTAAAAGAAATAGAGTATATTAAAAATTAAAAGTGAAAATATTTTTCAAATTGTAGTTAAATAAAACGTATTCTAACCTGAACACCCTCCAAAAATCTTTAAATATACAAATAGAAAAAATGCCTGAAGAATTTTTGCCGTTAACAATAAAATTTAAAACAAATCCAGACGACATGCATTTAACGGATGTCAGATTTCATTGAAAAATACATAATTTTAAAAGTTACTCCAAAATTCGCTTATGGATGAAATGGAACTAATGCCTTTAATTTAATTACAAAATTAAATTCGGACCTTCCATTTTTGAAACATGGTTAGAACTGTGTAGTGGAAAAAACATTTTTTAAATCAATTAATTTATAATATCAATGCTCTGTAAATTTACATTGATCACTATTTTGTAAAAATAAAAATATCTATAAGAACACCGGATTATATATCTTACTGTTCTTTTCTTTATATATATATATATATATATATATATATATATATATATATATATATATATATATATATATATATATATATATATATATATTACATCTGTTATCCGCGCTTGCCTAATTTTATCAAATTTCGAGATATTAAAAATTCAGCTTCTATATATTTATATTAGTTAAAAACAGGACTCATTGGAGAATTTAAATCATCAATTTGTTTTTATCAAACAGAAATACCATTTACTAAAAAGCTGCTTTGAATCATAAAATAAAAAATGCAATAGAACTATGACATTATTTAATTAGAAAAACTTTTAATTGCTTTTATGAAAAAGATATATTAAGGACACTATTCCCTTAAGAAAAAAAAATTTTCAATGAATAGTGAATTTTTTCAATGATTGTGTTCATTTCAATTAGAAAATATTATATTTAAATTCTTTTTAATATCAACCTTTTTGATGATTTTATTATTATGTGAAAACTATATTTTCTAATCATATGTGACAAAGCTTTATACAAATCATCAAACTATTTGCATGTGTTTAAAAGTGCCAATTTTTGTAAGTACAGGTGACCATACATAACATTATCAGAAAATAAGAGCAATAACTATAGTAAATTTTAAGTCAACATTTCTAAAATTCAATAAATATTAGATTACAGTATATATATATATATATATATATATATATATATATATATATATATATATATATATATATATATATTTTATCCCTGCTTGCCTAAATTTATAAAATTTCGCGATATTAAAATTACACCCACTTAATATTTCTATTAGTTAAAAGGAGAATTCCTTGGAGAATTTAAATCATTAATTTGTTCTTGTCAAAGAAACACCATTTTCAGAAAAACTGCTCTGGATCATAAAATAAAAGAAAATGCAATAAAATTCTGCCATTATTCAATTAGAAAAGATTTTAATTGCTTTTATAAATAAGATATATTAAATGAATTTAATGAATTTTTATGAGAATTTTTTAAGTTTTTTAACATTTTAATATGAATAATTTATTACTTTTTAAATCTTTTAAACTTCCATATAAATTTCACCATTTTTGTTGATAGTATTAAGTAAAACTATATATACTAACCATGAATGGGAAAGCTTACTGCAAATCATCAAATACCAATATTTTTTAAAGAATTTTAAATTTGTTTTTATGTGTATAAAAGTGTCGATTTTTGTAGATATGGATTATCGGTGGACGGACAGTTGCGCGCTGGATATTTGAGTCTTGGACAATTCGTAACAGACAATTGCGTCCCTAGTCATTTGCGTCCCCAAACAAATGCGTCCCTGGATAAGAGCGTACATCTGATAATTCTTTGAAGTTACCATTTTTTGAAAGAGTTGTTTAATATAGAAATTGGCATACCAATACTTTTCAATTACTCTAAACAAACAGAAAAGTGGTTACCATAAATAAAAGAGAGAACAATTTCTTTTAAATTTCCAGAAGTGCGTACCACAAACATCAAATGGATTCTGGATTTTATAGATTATATTTTTATTTGGTTCCGAAAATCAAACACTGGTGAAAAAATATTTGTCGAGGACAAAATTTACAGCAACCATTATCATAAGAAAACACCGTTGTTTTCTATGCAAATTTAATAATTATGCATCTGTGTACAGTTAATTATATGAAAAGTATGCTTATTCATTAGTTGTAAATACGATAAGTTAAAAATTTGTATGTCTATGAATATCTGTTTGCTTCTGAGCAATGCGTTTACGGAACTTCAACTGTTACATATTACGAACTATAAAAATATAAATATAATTCAAATAAAAATATATACGTATAATAAGTAATTTTAGATATAATACAAATATGCGCAAAAATATCGTGACATATCACCATATAAAATATATTATATACATCTACATTTACATAGATATGCTGTACAATATATATATATATATATATATATATATATATATATATATATATATATATATATATGTGTGTGTTTATATATATATATATATATATATATATATATATGTATATATATATATGTGTGTATATATATATATATATATATATATATATATATATATATATATATATATATATTTATATATCTCTTCATATCATCATTCTCCCTAAAGCATTCATGCAAAAATATGAATACATGCACAAAGATAAATAAACATTAAAACATATTATATATTATGTGTGTGTGTGTTTATGTGTGTCTATAAATATTTGAAATAGAGCATATTTGTAAAAGGACGATATGAATAAAGACAAAAGAACTTTGACGAACTTTATCAAGGCATATACCTGACATATTTGCCTTGATAGAGTCCCTGAAAGATCGAAAAGCGCTGGCCAAGATAAGTTTTCCTTTCGTCTTTATTCATATCTATCTATCTATCTATCTATCTATCTATCTATCTATATATATATATATATATATATATATATATATATATGTTTACCTGGAAGTTTTCCTCGTAAATTCTAATTATAGTACCATTCATATCGATCTATCTATCTATCTATATGTATATATATATATATATATATATATATATATATATATTTGCCTGGAAGTTTTCCTCCATAAATTCTAATTATAGTACCATTCATATTCATCTATCTATCTATCTATCTATCTATCTATCTATCTATCTATCTATCTATCTATCTATCTATCTATCTGTCTGTCTGTTTACCTGGAAGGTTTCTTCCGTAAATTCTAATTCTAATACAATTCATATCTATCTATCTATCTATCTATCTATCTATCTAGAGAATGATGCACGAAATTTGCCCATGCCCCCATAACTATTTTCTGCTATCATATATATATATATATATATATATATATATATATATATATATATATATATATATATATATGTATGTATTGAAGTTCCGTAAACGCATTGCTCAGAAGCACTGGCTCAATGAGTATGCTCACAACGTTACCATTTTACGCTAATGCTTTTGGAAAGGAACCTTCTTAAAAACAATGACTAGTCACCCCATGGGAGAAATCCAAATTGCTTATTCGGTTGCAATATTATCTGAGGAGACGTAGCCACTGGCAAATCTGATCCAAATGACTTTGGGGTGGTGATAAACGGAACGATGCCGACAAAGAATATTACAGCGAAACGACTTCGTCCTCTCACTGTTGGAGGTTCTACCACCGTAACAAGATATGATTAATTCTGGGAGAATCGTTTTTGCCTTTGTTTTGCAGAAACTCTCTACAAATCTATCCACATAAAAATGACATTTTTTTTTTAAATAATTTAACCATTAACAAACTGTTTCATGCACTGCGATTTTCAAGATGGCCGTTTCTTATCAGTTGATACCTCGGAGTTCTCCAGTTCTTCTTCTCGCTTTTGAAAAGGAATCATTTGTGAGTCGACCATAGTGTTGCATACATTCGTGTGTTGTCCAGTGTTTTTCTTTTCCAATTTTATTTTACTGTGACTCTTTTTGCTACATTGATTCCTTTTGGAAAAAATAGTTTCGGTTTACAAACATTTCGGGTTACGAACGGCCTTCAGGACCGAATTATTTTTGATGTTAGCCGAATATGAATTTAACATAATATGATTTTCTATTTTCTCTTAATCCGAACAAAACCTTTTTCAAAAAATATTAGTACAAAAAATCAATATCAGATTTATATTATTTACATCATTCGGATTGTTGTCTCACCTGTATTGCCATATTCACAATGTTTCGACAGTTGTACGCTCTGGTCTTCTTCAGGTGATACAGGTTTGTATTTCGAACCGAATGCTTTATTTAGTTCTCGGGGATAGATTGTTCTAATTCCACGTGCCATTCCTGTTTTTGATATCTCATTTTCAGTTCTCTTTAGTAAGTCAACTCTCCAAGTTTTGGGTCCCTCTATTGTAGCCAGGTATTGAACTCACAATCGTTTGGGTCAAGTCACTTTTTCGATTATTTCAACGAACACTTTTATCCGATGGGCCATGGGGTTTAAACTGATTTTAATCCCAGTGATCAGTCTTGGAAACATTTGCAAGACTATTCAGATGGAGCGCAACGTATTCGAGACCACGTATTTACTGGGCTATAAATGCACGACAACTAATGTAATGATTGGTGACATACATACAGTCTTAACACTTTCATTTGTCTTTTCAGAGAACAGCCGCATGACAGCTTCCAATTTTACGCGATAGTCACTAAAAGCTGACTTGGTGCTGGCAAGTTTCTTGAATGCGAACGCCTCTAATGACACGAAAGTTCTATAGGTTGCGGCTTGTGAGAAAAGAGGTGAACTGCTTGGCCAGGCAACAGAAAGGGTTACATAGAGGTTACCCTCATGGAGAAGATCTGAACATTATAATTATATTTTCCTTTTTGGTACTTAGCTCACCCAATAGAAATCCGAAGGACCACTAACAATAAAATATTACTGAACGAGACTGTTTTAAGGAAAGAGAAAGACTGAAGTAAGAAGTGTCCATTATGATAACTTGTAGCATAGACATCGGTTAAACTTGGACTAGAATTGACCAAATTTAAAGCTGTCATGGTTGGTTGGTTGATTTTATTTAGCAGCAAATCAACTTCTATGGGTTATTTAAGAGTTATTTTTGTAGAAAATAATTATTTAGTGATACAAGCTTTACTATTTAACCCATTGATGAGGAGAAGAGATGGATTCTAATTAATAATTCCGCGCCATTATCCATTACACAGTTCGGAAATGCAAGCTGACGGCACTTAGAAAGAAAGAAAGAAAGAAAGAAAGAAAGAAAGAAAGAAAGAAAGAAAGAAAGAAAGAAAGAGTGGAGTAAAGGGGAGAGGTGGGAAGAAAGAAAGAAAGAAAGAAAGAAAGAAAGAAGAGCAGAGAACATGAAAGAAGGAAAGAAGAAAAAGAGAGAAAGGTTAAAAGAAAGAAAGAATGAAAGAAAGAAACAGTAGAAGAGTAGTGAACGGGAAAGGAGAAAATGGGAAAGAAAGAAAGAAAGAAAGAAAGAAAGAAAGAAAGAAAGAAAGAAAGAATAGAAGAGCAGTGAACGGGCAAGAAGGAAAGAGGAAAATGGGAGAGGGATGGAAAGAAAGAAAGAAAGAAAGAAAGAAAGAACGTTGGTCAGTTGGTTGATATTATTTAGCGGCATATCAACAACTCTATAGGTTATTTAATGCCGAAATCAAAATATCTTGTACGCAATTTCATGCCTTCAACTACAGACATTTTGTACATAATTTTATACTTTCAGGGTAAAGGTATCTCTTTTTAGACATTTTTTTTTTAGATTTTTTGTAGATCATAAAATGTATTGTTGGTAATTTAAAAAATAATGTATTGCTGCTAATTTCACTACAAAAATTAAATTATTGGTAATCTTAACATAAAATCATATATATATATATATATATATATATATATATATATATATTTATGTTTTAATGCTGCATTGAATGTCATTTTGTTATAAAACTTTATTGCTGATCATTTTATTATAAAATATGTGCTGTTGATTTTTGTTTGGGGATCCAATATTTTCCTGTAGCTTGGACCTTAAAAGTGCTGCTACCCGGGGTTAGGGTGGACCTGGGTACAGGTGGTTCTACGATACTCAAAACTTACCGATCAGAGGCCTTGCTGCCGGATATAGTTTATCATCATGCACAGGACGATAGTTGTCAGGGGCTCTGAGTGGAACATGAAGGTATTGGGGAATATCTGCCTCAGTCAACATGGCCTAGCGTGTCCGAGTTGTAAAGATCTGAGCGTGTAGGACTATGGAAGGTAATACACCCAAATATCTGACACCGATATGGCCAGATGGCGGGTAACGTTTCCTTTGTGGTATAAGTGTTGCAGGGCAGAGAATAATTCATCATCCTAAAAGCTGCGTAACCGTTTTGAACTTGAACTCATCCGACCCTTGTAAAGATATATATATATATATATATATATATATATATATATATATATATATATATACTGCTGAGAGGAAGGTATTTCCAAAACAGTCTTCATTAATGAATTGAGCATTTGTGATACAGCGGAATAGGCCTGTGTGTGGATGACCATATATATATATATATATATATATATATATATATATATATATATATATATATATATATATATATATATATATGCTTCTGGAAATCCGGTTGAGCTCTCTAGGAGAAGGGGTATTTAAAAACAGAGGTTCTTACTGCTATTAAGTCTAAATTGAGTTCTCCGAGCCATGGCGTAAAGCGAAAAAACGCTTAAATTCAATTCCGCGTGACGATGGCCTAGGGGTAAGATATCTGACTGATGGCAGATCAGTCGGGTTTCGATTCCGCTTTGAAGCAATCGGTGGTCTAGCCACAATGAGGAGCTATAGCGAAATAGTCTGTATATATATATATATAGATAGATAGATACTTCAATCTTTATATATATATATATATATATATATATCGATCTTAGCCTCGTCAAGCCAAAAGTCACCTGATATCTTTCCAGTTTCTTCTATATTATTTTGGATGTGCTGGTGATACAATGAACAGCGGCTCATATTCCAGTCGTTTTCCTTATATTTCCTTACGTACAATAATGTAATGCTGACTAACAGTCATCTAGAAGCGTCTACCAGGCATCTCGTGCCGGCTACCACTCATCAATTGCCAACTATGAAGCATCTCGTGCTGACTACCTATCATCTATTGCCGTCTACCACTCAGGTTGTACCGAATGCCAGTCACCTTGTGCCCACTACCAACCATCTAATGTGGACTACCAGTTACTACCTACCGACTACCAGTCATCTCGTTTCAACTACAATCATTTAATGCCGACTACCAGTCATCTAGTGACGACTTCCTGACAGCTACTACAGACTACAGGTCATTTGGTACCGAATTTATATGCGGAACCGTCATTAAGCCAGGCGTGCTATGACCGTTCAGCCACAGGGGCTACAATTTCAGAGCAGATGTCGAGAAAACTCGGCGAAGGTGTTTGGTTAAAAGCAGTAATTCGAGCTTGGCTAAATCGAAAGTTCTCTGTAACAGTTGCGTATAGGATACAAGTTGGATTCCTGTCAAGGGATGTATATTTTGTACGAAATTTTCGAACATACAGGCCGGTAAATATGATTAATACAGTTTAATTAAAGACATATATTCAAAAGTGTATCTGTAAAAATCATATAAACATAAATATATTATTAAAGTATTTTTCGGATTTAATCCATTTCATATATATATATATATATATATATATATATATATATATATATATATATATATATATATATATATATATATATGGTTGAATAATTGATACACATATTATGTCTATTTATTTTTATTTTAATCCTGTCAAATTCATGGATCGATTTCTTCGTGCGATTATTAAACTGATTAAGAAAGACGCCGTAGTTTTTCTAATTCTTTTATTTTTCAAAGTACTTTCAATCTCATTCAAGGGTGAAATTGCTAAGACAAAAATGAATGCAACAGATAGTTGTGATTTTTTTGTAAATGCACATGAAACACGTTCCGTTATAGTCTATTTGAAAATAATAAATGTCTATATTATTCAATTAAACAGGTTTGCATGAAGATATACTGCCGAAATCCCCCCCACACACACACACACACACACACACACACACACACACACACACTCACACACATACGCACACGTCATCGGACTAAATTTGTTATGTTGTTATATTAGTACCCTAATTGCTTTATATTCGATGCGAAAGAAAAGGACCATAAAATATTCCGAAGCAAAAAATGACCCCTCTTGAGAAAGCCAACGAATCAAAAATCATATTATCCTGCCAACTAACTCTATCACATGTGCAATCGAAAAGAATCTATCTAAACTCAGCATAAAGTTACTACTATCTCCAAATTAATAAAACACTTAGTCAATACTAAAGAAAAAAATTAGCTAAAACCTGATGGAGGAGTTTCGCCTATCGCCTGTATAAGTGTCACAAAAATACATAGGGGAAACTTCAAGGAAATTAAATAAAAGATTATATGAACACAAAAGGAACATTTTTACAAAATAAATCGTAAAATACGATGGTTGCTCACCGTAACGAGACTGGCCACAATTTTGACATAAAAAGAAAATGTTACCCAGAGAAAATAAAAGAGAAAATAATTCACTACGACGTAAAAGGTCTGTTTACCTCGGAGTTCTTGACAAGATCCAGAGGCGGATATGTAATATAATTGGCCCTGATCTGGCATCTCGTCTACAGTCACTCTCTCACAGACGCGCCTTCGCCTCTCTCTGTCTTTTCTACAAATACTTTCATGGTAATTGCTCCGATAAGCTGCTTTCACTGGTTCCCAGACTCCATGAATTCAAGCGCCCTACGAGGCTGGCATCCCGCTCCCACCCTTACACTATAGAAACTTTTAAATGCAGCCGTCTCTTCTACTCCATCCTTACCTTCATAACTCGCACCTCTCGCCTGTGGAACACACTTCCCAATTACTTTTTCCCGAGAGCTATAATCTCCAACTATTCAAATGTAATGTCAATCGACATCTCCACTTACATCTACCCACTATCCTTCTCCTCATCCTTTCTTCTATCACTCCTATCTGCTCTTGCTCCAAATATTCTGCAACACCCTGCAATATAGTGGCTTCACGCCTTGCTCGGGGCGTAATGCTTAAAAATAAAATAAAAATAAAGAATGACTAAATCGAAATGTCATCAACAGTAAATTTGCACCCTGGCTTTAACAACATTTCACTATTCCTGGCAGATCTTCCGATACCAAAGTGTGGAATACCTAAGTACAAAAGTGATGGAAAGAAAAAGAAAAAAAAGTCTGTAAAAAATTTCGAGTAAATATAAAAAAAAAAAACTTTCCCCAATAATGTTCTTGATGCATAAAAAATATATATCGTTATCTCTCTCAGATATATATATATATATATATATATATATATATATATATATATATATATATATATATATATATATATATATACAGGGTGTCCATAGAGTTAGTGTGCACTTTAAAAAAATTTAAACTTTATTTGTATTTGCGATAGCAATAATCTGCAAAAAATGTTATAAAGTTTAATGTACCTAGTTTTAAGAATATCTCAAATAACTAATGTGATTTCAGGCATTACTGTAAATCAGTTGTCAAATGTTTTCCGTGAACTGCAAAATCGTATTACCCTTTGTATTGCTAATGATGGAGGACATGTGGAAACTTAAATAAAATTTCAATAAAACCTTAAAAAACATCGATTTACCACTTTCTAATTCTTTTTACAAATTATTTCTATCGCAAATAGAAAGTAAGTTATAAATTTTTAAAGTGCACACGAACTCTATGGACACCATATATATATATATATATATATATATATATATATATATATATATATATATATATATATATATGTTTGTGTGTATATATATTTGTGTGCATGTCTCTTTGAGTGTGTGTGTGTGTGTGTGTGTGCGTGTACGACATATTTTCATTAAGACATATTTCATTTTATAGTTTAGACATGTCCTGTCTACTTATTTTCAATAAGATCATTTCATTCTCGCGTATACGTTTTTTTGATGTCATTATTGAAGGAGGAGAGAAAATCGCCCTGTTTAAACATATTTGTTTTATTGCCAAGTACTTTCGACATATCCATGTCATCAACAGGGTATTGCTTATAATTAAAAAAAAATACTATAGTATTCATTATTGTCAGAGATAAATTGTTGCTTTACCTGAAAGTTAAATTTCTTACCAATGGAGTGATATATATGGTGGGGGGGTATATATGTTTGGGGCGTTAGTATGTGTGCATGTAAATATGTATTTGCGTCTTATTCCTAGTGGACGTTCTGTGTTTATCACATGCTGTCTACACGTGTGCGTGTCTCTGCGTGTTCGTCTCTACACGTCTGTGTGTTTGTATATGGTATTTTGTATTTGTATGTGTGCGTGTTACCGTATGAGCCGCCATCTTAAAGCAACTCCACTCAACGAGCTGTTTCCGCATTGCGCGTGTGAAAATGTTTCCACCAAATTGAAAGCCTAGATTGAATTGTATATCGTTGAAAACATTTTTTCTTTATGGTTTTCGTTTTAATCAGAAACTTTCCCACAAGTCTAATAATATA